CGAACGCGAGGTGCAAGAAGATATTGGCCAGGAGCGGGCTTGCGACGCCCCCTTGGGGCGTCCCCATCGTGCGCGGCACCAGGGTTCCGTCTTCCTGCTGCATGGGAGCGGTCAACCACCGCTGCACATAGAGCAGAATCCACCGGCACCGGGTGTACTTCCTGACCGCGCGCATGACGAGCGCGTGGTCGAGGTTGTCAAAGAAGCCGCGGATATCCAGATCGATCACCCAGTCATAACGCCAGCATCGCTGCCGGGCTGTCCTGAGTGCGTCGATCGCGGACTTCCGCGGGCGATACCCATACGAATCGGAGTGGAATTGCGGCTCCACGTCCGGTTCCAGGTACATCTTGACCACCGTTTTGGGCAATTCTGTCGGCGACAGTGGGAATGCCCAAGCGTCGCTCACTTCCGTCCTTTTTCGGTATCCCAACCGACCGGACCGGAGGCGGGAAGTACGTGCCCGACGACATCCGATTCCAAATCCTATAGAGATTGTTCTTCAGATCTTGCTCGAACATCTCGACAGACTCAGCATCGACGCCAGCTGCCCCGTGATTCGCCTTGACCCGAGTGTAGGCCTCCCAAACTACCCACTTGGAAATATTGAACGGCTTCGCGTGGCTCGACGGCTCCTCCCGCGCGCGCGGTTGACCGTCAGGACACGCTGGATGACGCGACCCCTTTGCTCCATCGAGTTTCCCCGACTTCATCGCTCGTACGGGTCGCTCCGCCCCTGTGCCTCGCATCGGGCTTCTCATCCTTGGGGGTCGGCCCCTTGGATTTCTCCCTTCACATCGAGGCGACAGGTTCCCACGTTCCACACAAGGGCCTGGTGCAGGGTCACGCCACCTTTATGCCGGGTGCCGCCCAGCCAAGCTGCAGGCTCCCGCTGGACTTGTCCCGGGTTAACGACTCGCCCCGGTTTCGACACCGTCCCTACGCTTTCGACACGTTGCCGGTGGTTCATCCACTTCGTCTCCCTGCACCCTACCTGACGCGGTCACGCCGCGCCGTTTCCGTGACGCTTACCACCTCGGCTCTTGACCGAGGCAGCGCACGGCGGTTTGGAGCCTCCCCCTGCCGGGCGGCTCCGAGGGGCCTACCCTCATCCCTCGTGCAGCATGGCTGCAGCTAGGCGGCCATCTCGGCCTCCCTTCTGCGCCTTCGTGGCGCACGGTGAGTCGCCCGGGGGAATCTCACCCCCGGGCGCTCGCAGAACTGTACGTGAACGTCTCCGCTCATACAGCTCCCATCATCCAGCCGCCAGCGTCACCCCCAGCAGATGCCAATGGGCGAACAGCCAGGGCTCGCGACGAGCAAGGCCACCGAGCCAACGGATGGCGCGACGGCGATGTCGCCGTAGCCTTTTGTTGAACGGCTTCGCGTGGCTCGACGGCTCCTCCCGCACGCGCGGTTGACCGTCGGGACACGCAGGATGACGCGACCCCTTTGCTCCATCGAGTTTCCCCGACTTCATCGCTCGTACGGGTCGCTCCGCCCCTGTGCCTCGCATCGGGCTTCTCATCCTTGGGGGTCGGCCCCTTGGATTTCTCCCTTCACATCGAGGCGACAGGTTCCCACGTTCCACACAAGGGCCTGGTGCAGGGTCACGCCACCTTTATGCCGGGTGCCGCCCAGCCAAGCTGCAGGCTCCCACTGGACTCGTCCCGGGTTAACGACTCGCCCCGGTTTCGACACCGTCCCTACGCTTTCGACACGTTGCCGGTGGTTCATCCACTTCGTCTCCCTGCACCCTACCTGACGCGGTCGCGCCGCGCGTTCCGTGACGCTTACCACCTCGGCTCTTGACCGAAGCAGCGCACGGCGGTTGGAGCCTCCTCTGCCGGGCGGCTCCGAGGCCTGCCTCTCATCCGCTCATGCAGCATGGCTTGCAGCTAGTGGCTGCAGCTAGCGGCCATCTTTCGGCGCGCTTCTGAGCGTAGGGGCGCACGGTGAGTCGCCCGGGGGAATCTCACCCCCGGGCGCTCGCAGAACTGTACGTGAACGTCTCCGCTCATACAGCTCCCATCATCCAGCCGCCAGCGTTGAACGGCTTCGCGTGGCTCGACGGCTCCTCCCGCACGCGCGGTTGACCGTCGGGACACGCTGGATGACGCGACCCCTTTGCTCCATCGAGTTTCCCCGACTTCATCGCTCGTACGGGTCGCTCCGCCCCTGTGCCTCGCATCGGGCTTCTCATCCTTGGGGGTCGGCCCCTTGGATTTCTCCCTTCACATCGAGGCGACAGGTTCCCACGTTCCACACAAGGGCCTGGTGGCAGGGTCACGCCACCTTTATGCCGGGTGCCGCCCAGCCAAGCTGCAGGCTCCCGCTGGACTCGTCCCGGGTTAACGACTCGCCCCGGTTTCGACACCGTCCCTACGCTTTCGACACGTTGCCGGTGGTTCATCCACTTCGTCTCCCTGCACCCTACCTGACGCGGTCACGCCGCGCCGTTTCCGTGACGCTTACCACCTCGGCTCTTGACCGAAGCAGCGCACGGCGGTTTGGAGCCTCCCCCTGCCGGGCGGCTCCGAGGGGCCTACCCTCATCCCTCGTGCAGCATGGCGCTCTAGGGCCATCTCGGCCTCCCTTCTGCGCCTTCGTGGCGCACACTCGGTCCGCGTACCGCGTCAGCCGGTACCCTCCCGGCCTCCGCGTCGCATTTCTTGTCCGA